ACGCAATTCCGTAAAGGGCGTGCGTATGCTCCAGAAGTGATCGCGTTAACTGTCTTCAAGATCCAGCGGGGAAAGTGTCGAGATCTCTTATTGAGAAGCCTATGAGAAAACCCTACCTAGGGCATGGCATCGCCCTAGAACCTTGGGAGCTTTCGTTCCTTAATAGGCTTTTTTGGAACTTGCTCCGAGCTCCAGATGCCGACGCTTCGCCCTTTGGAGAGAGGGTCGGGAACTTATGACTTGGTGCATCACGGCAGTCTAGAACTCTTAAGGAATCCTGCGAATTGGGAAGGAGTACCTGGAGAGGAGGGCGCTCCAGTGTCCCCCGGGACTCTCGGCGGTTCCTGGGGATTCAGAACTCCACATGAGTCAGCAGTCAGCAGCACAACACCCAATAATGAATGATTCTATACTTGACGAAATCCGATCGTTATTCGCGTCCTCAACTAGGCCTATTTCCACTTTGTGACAGTATCTGTGCCCATCAGAAGATCGTTCCCCCATGCCTTCTCCGCTGTCGATGTGCGACGCGACGGAAACGCTAATCGGAATTGCGCTGAACGAATCAGAGGTTACGCAGCCGAGACGCGATGTTAGCTCAGGCGGATGGCCCAGGACCGACTGACGGACGGTCGTTGTTGCAGCGGTGGATTTTCGCGGTTCCACCCACCGGTCTCCCTTCTGGTAATGTTCACAACGCGACGTCTATTGTCTCATCTCAACAAGTCGATCCGCTGTGATCGCCCGTTCGGATGGATTGAGCTCCATTCATATGAAAAATCCCCTTGTCGAATTTCCGGAGGTGCGACTGATGTGAGCTCTCAATGGATGTTCTTATCATCGACGATCATAGTCCCCGCACCGGCTATAACCGCGAAGCCCGAAGATCCCTTCGTCTTTCGGATTTTTCATTCTTGCGATGCCTGTCGGAAGACTAGTCCGAGGAGCATCCGAGAACCTTGATTCGCTCTGGAAACAAAAAGAGCGGGAACGAATCCACTGAATGCTCATCGATATCGTTGTCCATCGATCGCCGTTAATTTCGAAAGTTTCTTCTCGGTCGGAGGGATGGCAGAGCACCTCACCTGATCTGAGTCAGAGTGCTGTGAAAAGAGCATTGAATCGCCGACTCTTTCGTAAGAGTGCCAATATCAGACAGATCTGTAGAATTAGAATCGTCGAATCACCACCGTCGAATCTGCTCGGAGGCGACTGAGACGGCGAAGAAAAACCCCCGAATGTTGGGAATTATTCATGTCGCGAACCAAGATGAGCGTTTCCAGGGCCGGCCCATTACGCGAATCACTCCCACCTTCGATTTGAACAGGGCTCTGCGGATCGGGTGTAAGCCAAATGTCGTAAGCGGACCATGTGACGCTCAGCCGATCCGCGGATCAGGGAAAGCTCTAACACCGCAGCTTTTCTGACGGCTGACTGCTGCTTGTTTGGGGTTCCAAATGTTTGCGTTCTGGCATGTACTCTCCCCTACATTTTAGCCTAGAGATATTCCTTTCCTGACGACGTCCTAGATTACCTGGACTGATATTCCGTGCTGTGAGACCCGTCCCGAAACATTTCATTGGGTGTCGCTGTTTGTCCTAAGATACCGTTACCGACGCGACGGCCGCCACGAGCACCTGTTCGTAGGGACACGCACCGAAAGGAGCCGACGCAGTGGCTCTAACTGCCCGAGCGATCGCTGGTATCCGTGAAGTCTCAACCTGCTGAATAAACATTACGCGTGGGACTCATCTCGCGCGTGAGAGAAATCTTCGTGAAAATCCCGAATCGAACCCTAAGCTCTGACGAAGATCTAACTCTCCCGGCCGATTCCAATCGATCATGGTGGAAAGTCAGAATTCAATTGTGCGATTCAGAAATCAATGAAAAAACTCGCGTGCTATCCAACATCCATTCGCGAGCACAATACCGCGGTATCAAGTCATACGATCAGACAGTTCTTCTGAACTTTCCTCGAATTTCAATGCGAATGAGAACCACGACAATAAATTGGAGCCAAGGGCCGGTTTGGTTGTTGGCCGCAGATCCCGGTGGTGGCCCGACGTTGGAATATCGTACCGCGATGTCCGACGAGAATGAAGCCTGTCAACGGAATCTGAAGTCCCCGCTTGATCGACTCCGCTGAACAATCGAGGGAGACAACGGTGGACGGAGGATGAATCGCAGGAAGAGAAGGAGCGAAAACTTCATCATTTTTAGATTGCGCATTCTGGCTGTCGCTCACTGTTTTCGGAGCCGTTTTTTTCCTTGCGTTCTCTCTTTGCTCAAAAACTGTGGAAAGTCCGCTATTGTCTTCCGATACTGTCCGCTGCACACATTCCGTGGCCACGGATTGATTTCGTGAGGCTCGGACGGTGTTCGAAGGTATCTGGTGTTTCGCTGCCGTAAAATCGAGTCATTCGTATCTTTCTGGATACGTCCGGATTATTGAGCACGACTCTTTGGTCCGATGAGTCTTGAAGCTCGGTTATCTTGAGGCCAGTCGATGGAGTCACTGTACGTCAAATGATTAAGGCTGATAAGTGATTGATTCAGCGATTAATTGATAGAAGACGGACCACCGTCTGATTACTCTGTCACACTCGTAAAGCTCATCGCGTTGGCGGCGCGGCGGTGAACGACGGTTTCCTACGGCGTAGCATCCTATGGCACTCCGGCGAGGTCTTCAACTCATAGCCTCGTGCCTCCTGGCGTCGATTTTCGTGGAATCGATCCCTGCGGCGCTGATCACGTGTGCCACTGAGCACGATTCGTTCCGGGCTCATATCTGAACAAGGTGTCCTTTTCAAGTGCGAGTACCTTCATTCAATTGATCCATTATGGGGTATGTCTGGAAATTCCACAGTCCCTCAAGAAACCCATCTAATGGAGCTGGCCTGAATGACTTACTATTCACGGGGAGAAACTTTGTTACATCAATCGGCCGAAAGATGATCGCCGGAGCGACAGAGGGTCATCGAAGAAGCGGTCAGCGGAAAATTCTCATCATCGCCGCGTGTTAGCTGAAAAATCATTGTTCAGTCAAGAATGGAACAGAACCTGATCTCTCACCGCACTAATATCGGGGATCCCCACCTAAAAGGGGAAGACTTTCACTTGAATTTCCGTCAGCTCGAGCGTAGGCGAAGATTGAAGGTACACGGGTCCCTCCCGCGACTCGCCAGTAATTTCTCTTCGCGACGATTTCTAGCGACAGTGATATTGGGGAATCGGGCCCTCTCGAGGCGGAGAATTCCAGTCGGATAAGCCAGCCGAATTAGGTCTTCGGAGCTCTCCCAAGACTCGCGACTCGCGCGTCGCCGTCGGTCGGCTTATCTTGTGTTGATATTTCCATGCATGACGAAGGTCGAAGGTTGAACAATGGTGACTGCCTGGCGTTTCGCCTCACCGTATACCATAGTGGCTCCGCCCGCTTGTCGTTGAAGGGCGTCACGCCGCAGGAAACTTCGGCGTCGTGGACGGATGGATTGAAGTATCAATCGCTGGTCTTCACTTGAGGGACGCGGAAACATGTCAGATGAGATCGAAAAAAATAATCAGGTAACTCATTGCGATTTCTGCTCGATGACTGTTGAAGATTGCAGACTAATTGATCGATCCGAGCGAGGAATCTCCTAAGGCGTAGCAAAATTGGGAAATCTCAACTCAGATGCTTGCAAAGTCCCAATATCTGTCTCAAGCTTGCCGAGTCTCACGTTCGAGCTATCTTTGAGCGTAGCGGGAGTGTTTTGTGGACCCAAGTCCGTCCCTTTGAGAATTCGTGCGGTTACAGTGACCGTTTCGCGTCCGACGACCACAGACGCGGTATTTCAAAACAGTAGCTCATTGTCATACGGTCAGACCGGAGTGAATTTCTAGATTCTTTCTCGGGGGATCACTGACTCGACTAAACGGACTCCTCACCCAATATTGGATGTGCCTTTTAGAGTCTACGCCTGTTCTAGGGAGCGTATCTCAAATTCAGGATCCAGGCGGGTCAAGCACGACGGAGCTGCGAGACTCGGCTTGTACGAATAAAGCAGGAGCAGAAACTACTGACAGAACTGTAGAGCTTCATGTTTTCGTGAAGTTGGATGCAGTCGCTCCGTCAACAGTTGCATAATATGCAAAAGAGCCACCTAGAACAAATCCCGAATTGAGGGTCCCTGCCCTGAGATTGGTCTTGCACAACTCCTTCTACTGCTAATCTGTCCTGGATTGTGAACTCCTTCCTAATCGAAGATGGACACGGGGTCACCATCGAATGTTCATGGAGACGTACACATATTGATGCTGCTCAGTGAGTAGCCGGCGTCCGTTTCTATGACAACCAATCGAACGAAGTGTTCCTCGAAGTTCACGCCACCTCTTCGAGAGTCTCTCGTGAGCGTGAGTGAGTTCTCGAAGAATCAGGAGGCTCTTATCCAAGGATTCAATCGTCCGGTCGAGGGGGAATACTGCAAAATTCGAGACCCAAGTGCGCTGGTGTGACGACAGATCTGATTATCGTGAACACACTGTCTCTGGAATTGGATGCTCTCCAGGAGCTCCGTACCGTGAGCCGTAAGTAGATCGTTTCGATTTGTCACAAAGTTCCGGGGCTCCGAATCCCCCTGGTTTTCGGGTTGGGGAGCCCATGAGAAAAAGGACCTCACTGCAGACGAGCTGTTATCCGAAATGATCAGAATAGAACTCGATATCACCGAGATGGCCCCGAGAAGAGGTTGAAATCCCTTCCATCCCTTCCCGTATATCATCCCGATAGTGCCAGAAACCTTGATCTGCTCCCTTCCATGGTCCTTGAAAAAATTCACTCATACTCGGTAGTCGAATAGTGAGTCGCGCATACTTGTCTCGTCGTTGGCGCCCGGTGACCATCGCCGCAGTGTTGTTGTTGTTGCCATCTGGCCGAGAGAGAGACCACCTCGCCTGGTCTGGTGTGCAGACTCACAGAGAGATCGCCTACAGAACACTGCTGACACAGAGAAACTCTCTAGATTGTTGTGCCGTCGGCAGTGGCTTCGCCGACAAAGAATAAATAGCTGAATGATCCATCAGAGACTCGTTCCATGTGCAGCATGTTGAAAGACCGCACACTTTTTGCAAAACACCGCCCCGAATTGGGTGATTTGCCCCAAGGTACGCGAAGGGAATCGAAGCCGATTCGTTCGGGTGTAGAGGTAGCTCCCTCTTTGGTGAACTATGAAATGAATACCGGCGGCCTGAACGTATCGTGCCGGCCTCTCGGGCTAACCAGGAGGAGAGGGCACCGCTTCGTTTATGCCCCCGACCCCGGAAGGTATAGATAGATCGGAATCGATCCACGATGTTGGTTGATTTGAATGGAACGTCAGATCCTTACAGCTTTCAGCTGCTTTCTCCGGCCTTTGGAACTCGTTAGGTACATGATTTGTGTAGATGACTCGATGGAGCCTCCATTCATCTCCACATCCATTCGAGAACTCGAGATTGAACCATAATTCTACTCTACATTACATCGATTATTTTGGGAATCATCGTCGGCCAAAACTGGTCCCTGAAAAACAGCTCATCGTATTTAGTATTCGATTTCTGTCCGCCTCCCCCTCCCGAAAGAATCTTCTACGGCTAAATGTCATTGTGATTATTCGACTTATCTTCCAGACGTGACCGCCCCTCCGATGCATTCTCCGCTAAGCAAGACTGAGGCAATCTAGACTCGATCACAGGAAGAATATCTCGAATATGTCGGTGGTGTTCAACTTCAACTCTCTGAGGCAACCTCAGACACCCACGGAGACATCTCCATGCAGCACAATGAGGAGCACGAAGTACATCCACGTGTGAGTAAAATTATCTTCCACCCCGCTTCTCAGGTCCCTTCGCTCCGATCATTCCACCGCTCTTATCCCTTTCCGCGAAAAGGACGGCCGACGATGATATAAGTAACCGAAGAAGACGCGTCCATAATGATGGCGTCTAAACTGAAATGCTCTGACCCTTGTGACGCCGTTCGCTGCGTCACCTCCCAATTTTGAATAAATATATTCGATTTGCATTACGTCCGGAGAAATCCATATTGCTCTCATCCTGAAAGCGTGGTTGCCTGAGAAAATGTATATTCTCAAGGCGGACGAGGATTATCTCTCGAATGGGACTCTCATGCGCTAGAGCGGCGAGCTCCGCACTTATTATTCACCGTGGAAACTGATTCATTTGTCCGTCTGAATGTCTGGCGCTGTCCAAAGTGAGCACGCGGTTCAATGGAGCCTCGCGATCGTGTCAAGTATTGTTCGGCTTGGTTTTCGGGGCGGCTATGAGCGCATCACGCAACTCGCGAAGCGTCTGAAAATAATCGTCAACATCGTCATCATCATCTACACCATCATCGCGGTCGACCGCTGTATTGAGCCAGAACAACAGTCATCAGCTCAAGTTTCTGGGCAGTTTGATGGAAGCAACCGGGGTTCACCGGACCCGAAGGGAGGGGAATCGTTTTTTTCTGACAGTCGAAGCTCCCGAGCTTGTGGACGTGACCCGTGTACGGGAAGCGCGTAGATTCGCTGACTGTGGTCGAAGTCCTATTCACTCCTGTTCTTAGTGTTGATTGCCAGGCTTTTCGAGATCCCCGCCGAGAATAAATGAGGAATCCCGCGATGTTTCCGGTATTTTGAGGAATATTAATCCAAGCTAAAGATATGAGTCGAACCTGGAAGATTGGAGGTTGCGAGCCGGATGCGTGAAATGTCGTATGGGGCCGTCGACGGCAGATTCATTGGTTTTCTCAGTCAGGAGAATGGTTTCAACTCGCTTGAAATGAACACAATCCGGACCCAGAGCTTCGCAGCTACAGAATGAGTACTCCTCGGTCGGTGCCAGGGAGAACTCCACGTTCTGCGATGAAGGAAAACGATCCGTCCATCATCCGCTGGATTCGACCAGCGAAGCGGAAAAAGCTGAGGATGCATTCCGCTAGCTAGGCGACCGCGGCTCGTCCCGAACGACCGAATCCCAGACCAGAATCGAATCTCAAAGCAGTTCCGCGGAACCGAGGTGTTTTCGTAGCGGTCGCCAGTTGATATTGTTTTCTAATGGACCAACGCGCTGGTAACACCGAGAAGCCCGATCCCGATATTGGACGACTCAGATTTCCGCGGGTGGTAATGATGATGTTTCAATCAGATTGCCACTTGGACCCCTCGTCTCACGCCGTGGTCAAAAGCGGATGATCTGAGGGAGGAGGAGTTTCAGAAACTTCGCACTTCTCGGCCAGAGGAACGGAGAAGAGAACGAGTTTTCCTCGCAAACAAGCCAGCGATAATGACAGGCGGATGAGGAGACAGACAGAGTAGGAGTATCCATTTATTGGTAGTCTGTTCGGAGACCTAAAGAAAGGGGTCAGTTGGTACTCGGATTCTATCAGCTTGAAATCGTTAGGAATCCGTGATAACAGACCTGGACGAGGAAGAGTGGAGCCAAACTCCAGTCGAGGCATTCATTAGAAGGTGCTGTCGCTAGGAGAGAAGCTTTGCGAAATTCTTCGGAGAGGATGTCCCGGCTATCAACCCCCATTTTGGAATAGACCCAGACTCGTGCTAGATCTGACAAAACGGATTGACTCAACACATCACGGAACATCGACGATCTATTGACACGATCCAATGCTATAGCATGGACTACCATTGATTCATCTCATGAGCTCTCCGAGCGAACATCTCACGGATTACTTCTCGTCACAAGGATGTCAACAAAAACCTTATCCCGCTTGTTTTTCTGCCGTGTCGGCGGAATACGGGGCGAAGTTCCCACATCTCGTCGTCGGAAGGCTCGTGCCGCCAACGGATATGATCGTGAGCCGTTCTACTCGTCAAATAAAAAAGAAACGAGTCGACAGAGAGAATGGCTTTCCGACGGAGCACAGAGAGGGTGAGCGAACGAAAGAGGAAAATAGGCGTATGGATGGCCTTTGAAGTAAAACGTTGCAACTACGCCCGTTCTTCTTGTCGTGACCCGTGGATGAATCTCATTCTGGTAGCGTCTCACATCGGCCGACCGGAGTGGTAAAAAGAAAAGTCTGTACACTTTCAAACACCTGCCGTGTGTGAGCGCCGGGGTGTGGATCCCCCTTTCGATTCTGTCATTGTCCGCTCCGGCCAAGTGCAAGTCTTCAGCTCGTTGGTTGGTTTCACATCCAATCGTAAGGCCGTGGGTCAGACGGATGCATTCAATGCAGTACAAAAGGTTTCGGTCGCAAACCGCGCCTGAGATGAGCAGAACAGGTCTTTTGTTCGACAGCGTTTCGAGTCGGATTCGTTTGAAGGGGCGAGGGAGAGGGATGGCAAGAACGAGTAGTTTGCTTAAATTCTTGCAAAATTCCGTCTACAGAAGGCACTGTCGCTACCGATCGAGCTAAGACAAACCAGCCACAATAGTCAACGGACTCCTGTCTGTCCGAGTAATAGACGACTCAACAGCTAATGTCCCTTTTACAGATTGCGAAACGATCGGTAGTGAAAAATTCTCGGGTCTATTCTCGGCTGCTCGTGAACAAATTTAAGATCTCCGGAAAGGGACACCGAATTTTGCTCGGAAAGTCGTCGCTCTTTGTCACGACGAGTATTAGAACAACGCGCTGAGTCAACGGAAGTAGCACCAGTGAGTCGCGAAATTATTACTAATTCACGCGGCTAGGTCGTGCGATGGGAAGATAGCTTCACATCCATCTCAGAGTCGTTACTTATTCCGGCAAATGTTTTCGTATTGACTCTTCAACTCTGGCCCGTTGAGCGGTCGACGATGCTTGTCCGGTGTCATGTGTAAGTGGCTTTGATGTGATTTGCACACCCCCTTGCTCGCCGCGTTCATTGGCGGCGGAAGTTCAACGTGGTTCCGAAAGGTCATCGGGCTTCGTAATCACCGACTGCTTGTTCAGCTGGCGCAGCCTGAGACGGGATTAAAACCCGCGAGAAAAGCTGACCGATTATTCTATGATCGCTTCCCACACACGGAGTTGGGATCGACTGAGGAATCTAAACCGTCAAGCCCCTCTACTAACCCGATTAGTTCCAATGTGTCCAGGAACTTCGGAAACGGAATCTGAAATCGATGGGGCCCTCATCTGTCGCCACGGAGGTTCGACTTAACGTCCATCGAAACCATACTCAGCCAGTCTCCCAACCTACGACAGAAAATTCCTGCGAAGAGCTCCGGTTTCGGGGGCCCGGGGTGTTTCGCCGGGCGCCTCGCTCTCTTCTAGCTTTGTTCAGATGGCTTCAATGAACGGAATCGAGAGCGGGAGTCGGCATGCATACTCTTCCTAGACGAGCTTATTCGAGGATTTCCTGTCTAGCAATGACGAATTCGTCTCCTCACTTTTTGAACTTGAACTGCAGGAGGAGCGAGCTATCAGAGAAGCCGAGCTGATCATTCATCAGAGCTTGCGTCGAGATCGAAGCCAACTCGCAAAAGTCCGAATAGATGGGTCGATTTACGGAGGTTACTGAAAGAATATTACTTGGATTTTTTGAATATAGAATTTATTCTGAAGCGACGAAGCTTCTGGGGAAATCAGTGACAGTTCTTTTTTTCCCGTATTCGAAAATCTCCAGAGCTTGAACACAGGTGGGGGAGAGTCCTCGTTCCTTCGCGTTGGCGTACCGGGTTCGAGAACGGTATATAAAATCAAAAATCTTTCTGAGAGTGTATAATACTGTGAGTGAGTTCCGCCGCGCAAACAGAGGAACACCCACTATGACCCGCGATAAGATCCGGGCTTTTCGAAAACTAACTCCGAGACTTCGTCTCGAGGGCGTCTCTTAATCTGGACTCCTGAGTGAGTGAAATCCGTCCATGCTTGGAAATCGTATAAATAAGGGAGCTTTCTACAAATAATGTACATTGTAATGAGTAAGATCGACTCTGATTATCGTAATTTAGCTTTCCAGTGCTCATCTTTTTCTGCGTCTCTGCAGTATCGCCGGAATTCGTTTTGCTTTCATCGGGGATCCTTTCGCGGATGAAGGAGCCGCGACGTCGATCCGTATGACGTCAGAGTCGTCCGCCGTAATACTCAAATGAGCGAGCGATCCTGCGCTAACTTCAGGATTGAGGGTCACAGCGCCCATCTTGCGCAATTCCTCGAGATCCCTCTCGGTGCTGAGAACTTTCACCGGATTCCCACACTCATCGGTGATTTCCGAGACAATTTGAGGCTCTTCGTCGTCGTCATATATCGTCTTGGCCGCTATAGCGACTATATCTTCTTTGGGAGTATTGCTCTCGATGTGATCTCCGTTCCGGTAGTCGCAATGCAAACAGCTGAGAATCTTGTTGTCCGGCCCCCGATGCGTTTTGGTCACCACGTGCTTGCATCCCGGACAGTGCGCGGTATAGTAGTCGTAATTCTTCAAATGTCGAGCGATATCAGTCACTTGTTTTGATTTGAATTTACAAATTCCGCAAAGGAACCATTCGCCGCACTTTTTCAAGGCGTACACTCCTGGAGTGGCAGCGACATGCAAACGATTCGGCTCCAGTCTCCGAGTCTCTCTGGTCTGAGGGGTGAGACGGGTCGCAATGGGTGTGCAGCTCGAGACCTCGAACTGGGACTCGGCTGCCGTCTGGAGCACTTCCTCGCTTTGAACTCCGTGACTCTCTCTTTTTCTCTTGCTGAGAATTTTCCCGCAAAACTGGACCTTCAATGACCCTTTGAGCTTTGAATTCTTCGGCGAATCATCGGCGGGCCCTTTCTTGCTCTGCTTCATTTCCGGGGACAAATTTTCTCTTCTTCGAGCTTTCCGATTCTTAGGCGGTGGAGCGAGCTTCGATGCGTTCCTCCGACGTCGTTTCGCTCGCGCCTTCGGAACGTCCTCGGCAGGATCGACTTCATCAAGAATTTCGATTTCCTCCTCGTCCAGGTACTGCTTTTCACTCAAGTTGCGCTGGGCATCGGCGATTCTCCGCTCCCTCGATTCTTCCACCACTTGTTGTTCCAGCGAGGCGGCAGCTTGTTGGAGTGCAAACTCCAAAGATTGAGTGGATTGAGGCTCCGAGCCGTGGGGAGGCGATCGGAGCTCGGAGCCCGCGGGCGCTTCCTCTTCTTCTGGGATTTCTTCGTGTCGGCTCCGTTTCTTGTGCACGGCTATTATGTTTGACATCGAGTCATTTGTGTGCGGGGTCCAGTTGACGCTCGAACGTAGACATAGCCGTTTATCGACCGTCGGCTCCGGTGAGACTCTCGATGGGTGGGATGTCACGCTGCAGGCAGCCACGCTCTCGTTATCTGTTCCAGAGTTGCTATCTTGAGATTCTGCGTGATGGGCGGCGTCTCCGAGGTCGTCGCAGAGCTGAGGGGCTCGCTCTCGCTCCCATGAGCTCTCCAGGACCTTTGCCGGCCCTGTAAATCAAGAAGATTTGTCAATCGACATCTTAACTGGTGAACTCTCCTCATGATTTCCGACTGAGCATGCACTCGGACTGAGAGAAAATTCCGATTCGAAAAGTTCTCGAAGATCCCCTCTAGATCATAATACACCGATGCAAATATCAACAGGGTTTCTCCAATGACTTTATTATTCGTGGCAGATTCCGTGGAAACTCGAAACCTGTGATGATCGAGACCTGTGATGCCTCAGCAAATGAGGCGAGAATCAGCCGTGACCGTTCCATCCCGCGATGTTCAGCTCCCGCTCCGTTTCGAACCTGCAAGAAAGCTGGAATTTAGGGATTTATCGGAAGCATTCATGCTACCAATGATTTCCCGCCAAGAATTAGAGGAGCGATTATGCATTGTGCGGGACAGAGGGGAGCTTTTATTACTCAGCGGCCTCATTTGAACAGAATATCGCAGTTCAGATCACAGTATTCTTAATGTAATTCTCGAACAATGGGCCGATCTTGTTGGTGTCCTCGATCGGATTCTGCTTCACGTAGGTTATGAACTGCCTCCGGAGACGTGAAAGCTCCGGTAGAGTGATTCTTCGATTGACGTAGTCGACCGGACTTTTCAGAACTTTATCCACGGTTTCCTGCGTCAAACGGTCGAGATCGTACAGGAAATTGGTTGAAAGATGTGGTTGCTGGAAGGAATAGGAGTCAGCGTTTCGTAGTACATGAACGACTCAGAACAAATGCGAGCGTAGAATCCGGTTCGATTCGGATGACAACGCTTTCTAGACGCGCAATCTGGATGGTATTCTCAATCTCGGAGGTCACGACTCTTACTGCCATGGTCGCCTGATTTGGCGTTGGAGCTTTTCTGCCGAAAAGCGCTGCGTCCACTTGTTCGAAAGGGACAACTTGTTCCTCTTGTACAATTATCAAGGGTGAGTCCCACCGGTTCTTGGGGTCGGGATCTTCATATCTGAGGGCGCAGAACGTCCCAGTCTAAATTGAATTCGAGGCGAGAATCAACAGGCATGTATGGATCTTGCTTTTCATGGACATTGCTTTTCTCACCTGAGAATCAAGGCGTCAAATGTTTCTCTGGAGTACTGATCCTTCTGAGGGCGATCCGAATTCCTCTGCCATGCGCTCCCGACATTCACCGGCAACGCGACAGTACATTGAGTAGTTTTAACGGACTTCGAGAGGCAGTACAACTCATACCTGCGTGAATGAATGAAACGTCTCACAATCA